AAATTGAGAACGATGGAATCGTTCAGGTTGGAAAAGGCTCCTTGAGATCAGCGAGCGAAGCTGACACTGGCAGCCATCCCCGAGCCGTGTCCCCAAGCGCCACATCCCCGCGGCTTTTGAGGGATGGCAGCTCCGGGTGACCCGTGCTAGGGCTGGATAATTCTTTCAGGAGTCTCTGTACGCTTGGTGCTGTAACAGCGAGGGGAAGTTGCAGAAAGTTCCTGCCACTGGCTCATCCACCGGGGATGAGATTTCTGCCAGGCGCTGGGCAGCGGGGGTGGTCTCTTTAGCATCTATTCTCGGGCTCGTTTTTCCCTCGGTGGTTTTGCGGGAAAACACATGAGCTAAATCTGTGGTTTCCTCGGGGCTCTGCAACGAGCCCTGGCGAGTTATCCCGTGCTGGTGGTCCCCTCCAGAACTCTGTTAATTGGTAACTCGGGGATGGAGAGAGTCCTTATTAGCAACTGCCCCCTCCGCATCCCTCCCCTCCCGCTGAAGCCAGCTCCGCGAGGCGATTGCCAGGAAGGGCTGTTTGTCAAAGGCTAATAAACAAATTCCTGGCGAACACCTGAATGAGCCAGGGCCAGGAACAACCCAATTAAAAAAACGGGAGCTACTGGTTGTTTTTTTGTGTCGGTGGAAACAATCCGGGCTCGAAAAGGGTCTATTCAGAGGGCGCTCCGAGAGGTCTGTTTGCAGCCCTCTATTGTTGTCAGAAGCCAAATAAAAGTTCAGCTGGGGGGGCGGGGGGAGGGAAGTGATTAAAAAAAAAAAAAAAAAAATCACCGCTGCCTCCTGAACGCGCTGGGAGGCTCAGTTCAAAGGGATCGAGCTACGACCAAACGACGCTGCCCGGGTTTACCCACGCACTTCAGATTTTTGTTCCTAAATGTTGCGATTTTTAATGATGTCACCAGAGGTAACCCTTGCTTGCCCGGATCGGGCAGCAGGGACAGCTGGAGGCTGTGGTACAGCTGCGATCTCCACGCAGCGAGGCGCTGGGGCAGCCACGGGAAGGAGTTGGAGCTCGTTTGTCACAACTAATGATTTTGTTGTCCCCCTCGCCGGGCTGGGAGGTCGCTCCAGCCGTGTCAGCCCCGCGGCGAGGGAGGCAGCAGCGTCGCGGGCAATCTCGAGCTGTGTTTTGGCGTGACGCTTAAATGGAGAATAAAACAACAACAAAAAAATATCCTAACGACCTTCATCTGTAGAACCGGCCTTAAATGGCCCATTTAGTAGTCACATTACCACGCTGAAAACTTCTGGGGGAGGATGTGAATGCCAGCCTGAAACAGGGATCATGTGAACTTTTATCTTAAGCATCGCTAAAAGGCTGGACATTTTCGGAGGATCAACCTGGCGAGGGTCATCGGGGTCCAAACGAAAGGGGCGCCCAGCTCCCTTGTTTGGGCAAATTTTGAGGAGGAGCCCTCGCTGATCTCGGTCGGGAATTAGGCTGGTGACCAAGGGGATGTTTTAAAAACAGGATTAGACGGGGCCGGGGTCGTACATAGTTATTCTTTAAAAGCCAGCGATCCTCCCTGACACAGTTCCAAGATTTTCCCGAGCTCTTCTGGAGCTGCAATTAACATATATTAATGGTTCTTTCTTATGAAGCGTTGATCTCGCAGAAAGCCCGGGCTGACCCTTTCAAATGGCCCTTTTCAAGCGCGGCGTCTCTCTCGCGTTCAAGTTGGGTTGTGCTGTAAACTGCTTATCTCGCCTCACGCTCCTTTGTCACCCAAATAAATAAATAATAATAAAAGGCTCCTCAGCCTTTGACAACTGTATTTACACGACCTCAAGTGTTCTCCCGACCCCCACCAGACACACGGGGCTTCCCTCGTGGTGAATTTAAGAAAATGGCTCCGGGCATCAGGTTTATTGTGCCGGGCTGGGTCTCCTCCTGCTCTCTGCCCCTTCCCCGAGTCCCGGCAGCTCCGCAGGCTCCGTCCCCGCTCCCGTGGAGCAGGCGGAGGCTGGAATTTGCTGCCAAGGGGGTGGTGGCACGGGGTCGCAGCGCACCGCAGGTAACTCTGGGGACAGCAGCTGCTCCAGCGGGCTCGCCTCGTTCCTCCTGCTCCCCGTGCCGCATCACCGGCGATTGCAGGGCAGGGACAAGGAAGGACAGAGCGACAGCCGCTCGCAGGTGCGGGGTGGCCGCGGGCAGGGGCTGCTGGTGGCGACCTGCGGGGCTGAGCGCGGTGCCGGGACAGCCCCGGGGGAAGGCGGCTCCGGGCTCCCCTCTCCGCTCCCCAAATCCCACCGAGCGTTCGCACACACAGCACTGCCGCCCAGGCGGGGGGATTGGAGCAGGGGGTCCTGCTCACCCCTTCTGGAAATAGCTATCAGCCGGAATTTGAAGTTTTCCTCAGAACAAGTGCGGCGTGGGGAGCCAAACGCAGCGGGAGCGTTACAGGGACGTGTGAAGTCTGGAAATCCATCAGTCTGTACTCATATTTTTATTCAGTCAGGTTCGGTTCTTTTACAAGATTAGCGTTCAAGAGAAATGTATTGGTTTGAAATAATATGGACTTGAAAAGTGTTGAAGAGCTGGGCTTTTAAAGGAAAAAAATGTCTAATCTGAGACTCAGGCAGTTCAAAGACGAATTGAAAGACAAAGTAAGAGTCCGAAACGTAACGTTACAATATTTATTTAAGCATTAACGGAAACACTATTCAGGGGGATTTCAGCACGTCCTCCAATTCTCCATACAGCCCAATTTTTCGTTGCATACCAGCATGTCCAGTCCCTCCAACAAATGCTCATATAAAGAAATATCAAAGTATTGTCAGGATATATATCAGTCCGATTTCCTGCCAAGCTGGCAGATCTTAAACCTCGACTGGAGGAGCCAAAATATATTGAGGATTAGAAGTTAATTACGACTGGCCGAAACTTTTCCAATATATTGCAAAAGTTACATGCGAACCGCTCCCGCCTGGAACAACCCTTCCGTTGTCACCCTGTCCCCTCGGGCTGCCAAATTTTGACTTTGCTCAATACCCCAGCAGCAAACCAAGCAAAAACCAAAGTGCTGACTACAACATAGCCGGTCGCAAGCGGGACTTATTTCCCCTTCGACGTTGTACAACAGATCGTTTTGTCAAAAAGAAATCCGTACAAAACGAGAGAGACCTTCAACTGCTAAATCCCAGCAGCGCTCAGATCGGCTCCCTTCAACCCCCTCCACACCTCCGAGCTGTTTCCAGGGTCGCTTCGGTGCCCGTGCGGTCCCCGCTCCCGCAGGAAGCGCCGTGCGGGCTGCAGCGGGGCCGGGAGCTCCTCATCCCCGCCCTGCCCTGGAGGTTTCCCCCTCCCCGTACCGATTACCGTCCTTACACTCGCGGTCTTGTCTTTGGGGTGACCCCGGTGCCCGCCAAGCCGGGGAGCTGCGGCGGCAGCATCGCTCCTCGCCGGGCGGCCCGGGACGGGACGGGAGGCTCAGACACGTCGGCACCTCAAGGCCCCTGACCCTCCCCGGCGCCCCACACGGCCCTGGGGCAGTTTGCTCACAGCCACAGCGGCGATGCTGCCCGCATCCTCCGGCAGCGAGGCTTTCCCCGAGCAGCCTGCGGCTCGCTTTGCCTCTCCTGCCCCAGCGCTCCCCGGCCCGGAGAGCAGCCCGGCTTCTCCAGATGGAGCTGGAGCGGGGGCTGCGGGAGGATGAGGAAGGCAGGGATGGCGCAGCCCAGCCCGCCCTGGTCCCCGGCGGAGAGCGCTGTGCCCGCGGGGCTCTCAGCGAGCTGCCGGCCCTGTCCATGCAGGTGCAGTGTCCGTGCCTCTGGCGAAGGAAGGGAAGGAGGGGTAAAGGGAGGGGAGGGACGGACAGGGAAGCTGGTGATTGACAGCTCAAGTGGGCGCCGCTCCACTCACATATCCGCCGCCAAAGTTTTCTTTCACACGGAGGGAACTTTCTGTTGCCATGAAACTCCGGGGATTCACAAGCGCCGTCCCCTCTACCCCCCTCCCCTCTTTTGGGGCAGCCGAGTGGAAAAGCTCAAGTGGCGGCGGGGTTGGTACAGGTGGCGATGGCCGGGAGTGCCCGGCCGGCAGCCACCCATCCCGGCGCGGCGGGGCAGCCCCTCTCCCAGCGACAGCCGTGCCCGATCCGAGCACGGCAATACAGATTCTCCCCCAGGCGACAGCTCAGAGAGTGGAAGAGTTTAGCCCGTCCATCCTTCCCCCGCCCCTTTATCAGCTCCGGTGCGGTGCGGGCTCACTCGGTCTGCGGGCAGCCTCTCCGAGCTTGGCCCGGCACCGCGCATCCACCCGGGAGCCCCAAACCCCTTTGTGCCCGGCAGCCGCGCAGCTCCCGCTCGCAGCGCTCCGCCCCGCTCCTCCTCCCGCGGCCCCGAGGGCACCCCCGGCCCGGCCGCAGCTGCGGGAGCCGCCGTGCCCCGGGGGCAGGTGCAGGCCCGGGGCCGGGGCTGGGGCGGGAGG